TTCAGCCCCCCAGCTTTCCTGGTTGCCGAGTTGAAAGTGGGTGACAAAATGCACTCACTTTGCGCATACACACACAGACAGCCTCTCGACAATATGCGTTTTTGCTGGCTGTAGCAGCGCCATAGCGCTTATAGCGCTGCACAGCAAAAACGCAAAAAAACGCATTAGTTTTCGCGCAGGCCTGCACCACGTGTGCGAACATGACAAACATATTTGCTGCAAAGAAGCAATTTAATTCAAGCTATGAAGCTGAAATTTCACGGGGATATTAGCTACTATGAAAGTCTTTAGTTTCAGCCTTGTGGCACACCTAGGTCTCACGTTAAATGCAAGTAAATTTCAATTTCCCACAGTGTAAGCACCGATTTTAAGTTTGGAATCAGATTAATTAGGAAGTCACAGTTTTATGGTAATATAAGCTTAAAATGATTTGTTTACACGCATATGTCCTGCGCATGGAGGCGTCAAATTTTCAAACTACAATACTTTTGCCGTCTTTCTTTTTGTTGGCCGGTCGAGCAAGCACAGTTTTATCAGAATACTTCATGTCTTGTGCGTACTAAAAGTGAAATATCATCGTTACGAGCGTCTATGTCTTTTGTGTCTACAGACAAACATTACGGTGCAAAATAGTCAGCCGCATAATGAAGCACTGCTCTCCTAGCCATTAGCTGACTCCCTCTCTCTTACCATGTGCAGCAAATGGCCAAAAACATTGCCACCATGAAAGCACATATCAAGTTGTGAAGTAGCAACCCTTCATACTGTTAACGATCTGACTGCCTCAAAGTTTGCGTTAAAACGCATGTTTCCACCGCCAACTCTGGTGGGTGTCGCTACTGGTTGATTCATGGGTGAAGATAAAGCGTACTTTTTGGAAGGCCTAATTGGGAACGAAACTTTCAGTCTGCCATCGGCATCTTGATTTTTGAACTTCTTTGTAACGCCATTTAACTGAAGATCCTCCCAAGTTGGTGCACGATGCTGGATTTCTTGTAGATCTTGTCGATTTTCCTGAAAATATTGCATACAGTGATAAACAGCAATAATTTATTCTTAACTCTTGGGCGATAATCAAATAGAAAGGCCTGAACACACTTAAATGTAAGAAAAAATTCAAAGAAAAAATAACCATTTCAGAGGGAAATATTTTTAGATGAGGCACACTGGGAGCCGAACTAGCCCGCGAGCGAAACATGCCGCTTTGCGAATTCCGATAGATTTTTATCTCGGATAAACGATTCAGCAAATACTTCAGTGCCCAAAAAACACCATCCTCGGCCCAGTGCTTGATCAGCAGGCAACGGATCACTGCAACATCCAGGTATGTGGCCTCCTGCGGATCTCCACTTGTCTAAAATTGATTGAAAGCAAAATCTAAAGCGATGCAATTTTTGTCTCAATTTAGGCCTAAAATCAAAAGTCACACGAAACAGAAGCTGTTTTTCAAATTTATGCCTCAAAAGACTCTTGCATAAAACTTTTTGATGCTGCGCTCCAACTTTAGTGCAGATATTAG